CAGCCTGCCTCAGCTCTAACTTGGCCAGCTCCTGTAATTTAGTCTGCTGACCCTGAATCACCTGCACCAAAAGGTTGTTGTTTTTCAGTTTCCTCTTGTGGAAATTGTCTCTTCTCAGCTACTGCAGCCTGTGGCTAGTCCAGGAGCTACATAAGAATCTAAGTGCCATGCTAGGTCAGACCAATGGCCCATCTAGCCCAATATCCTCTCTCTGACAGTGACACAAATGGATGCTATAGATCAGTGGTTCTCAATGTTTTTTGTACCAGGACCCATTTGTAAACATCAATGGCCAATCCTGACCCAGTAAATAATTTAAGTAGAATACAGCCTCCTGGCCCTGCTGTTACCCCCAGCAGCTCAAGGAATAACAGATGGGTTGGGGGCGGGGAGGGGCATTGCCCTCACCTTCTCCTGCCACCAGCCACTTGTGTGCTGGGCTGTGGCTCTACCTTGCTGCCATGGCCTGGCCACTGCTGCTGCTCCCCTCATGCCACATCTCTACCCTGGGAAGGTGGTGGGGTGGCAGGCAGTGTTGTCCGTGTCCCCCTGTCCCCTGATACATTGTCTATGTTCCTCCTACCCCCATCTCATAGACTTAGCTGCTCTCATGCTGCCTGGCTGCCACATGCATGGGCACATGCCCATGCATGTGATGCCCCCTGCCTGATCACCCTCTTCCTGCTCCCCCCAGCCTCAAGCAGCCTCTTGAAGGCTGGAACTTTGCCAGCCTGCAATGGGAAATCTGCCATTTCCATGTTTTTCTCCTTAAAGGAAAATCCATTTTTAAGTTTGTTGATCCTTTTTTTTAAAGTTTGTCATGCCCCTTTCATGTAGTCCAACAACCCACTTTTAGGTCATGAACCACGGGTTGAGAAATGCTGCTATAGATATAGCTACAGTTTCTGCTCCACCTCTCTCTTGCTCATAGATTCTCATACTCCAGCTATATCAGTGTTTCCCAAACCTTTTTATAGCTGGGGCAAACTTTTCTGGATTAAAACCAGTGGCACCCTTACCTAAATTTTGTGGCACCCCAGTAGAAACCACTGAGCTTAGATCTAAATTCAGAAAAGATGAGAATGGGGGGCCTTGAGGCTGAAAAAATTGAGAATTGCTGATCCAGCTGGTGCCATGAGGACTCTTTCTACCATCTGTCCCCTCCTGTTCTCATTATGGAACAAGGGCGGCCCCCACTGCTGAGGCTACCCCAGTAGGGTCTCTCAGACCAGCAACCACCCTGGTAGCCCTTCCTGCCAGGCCTGGGGGTATGGGTGGAGTAGAGGAGATGAGTTGGACTGCAAAGTATGCCTCTATCTGTGCATTCACCCACCTGCCTGCCCACTTGCAACAGAGCATGATACTAGGAGTATGGTGAGAGGCTGGCACAGGGGGTGCAGACAGAAATGACATTTGTCATACAATAGGCTCCTTGAAAGCGCCCTAAATCCATGCCCAAACAGAAGAGCACAGCTGCAGAGCCCTCTGATCAGATGACAAATTAGCCCTCATTGTATGAGAGTTCAAATAAAGATGCTCCAAAGCAGAGTGCTTTCATTAATTTGTCTGCTCCAGCTGCAGCACAGCCTGGCTGCCTCTGGATGGGAGAGGGGAGAAGGTACAGGAAGGAGGTCTGCTCTGGGGTTTTCTTAGCCCCACTGGAGTGGGGAGGGGGGAGAAGCCCCTCACCTGGGGTGGGGGGAGGGCTCTAATATACTCACCCCCCACAATCCAGCAGGCTGGGAAAACCCCAGAATGGACCTCCCTCCGCTCCCTTCTCCTCCCTCCCATCCAGAGACAGCAGGTGAGCTGTGAGACGGGGTGGGGGATGAGCTAGGAGGAGAGGCTGCACAGATGCAGCCTCTCTCCATGGATTGACTCTAAAGTAGAGCCGATCCTCCACCCTCCTGATCCAACAGCTAAGGTCTGTTGGGTTGGGAGGAGCGGTCTAACTCATGGCACTTTCTATGAATTGCCATGAGTTACATCTGGGAGCTGCACTTTTGTCTAGACCCAGGGGCTGTCTGGAGATGGGAGGGTGGTGGAGGGGGCAGCAGCAGTGCTGGTAGCCCTCAGAGGAGCAGTTGCAGGTACCGCTGGAGTGGCTGGAGCTGGCACAGAGTACCAGACAGGGGAGGACAGCATTTACCCGTAATGGGATTTCATGGTACACTTTTGTTGCCCTTTTGCTTCTCGCCCTTTGTGAATCACTGAGCTATACCAAAAACATTATTCTCACTGGGCAACATGTGGTCATTCCCAGCTAATGCACTAAATGTATTGGTGGCTCTGCCTCCCATGTGGCTTCATTGTCTTCCGATGGCCCAAGGCCAAACCCAAGGCCTATTTCACACTCTGGTTCACCAGGGCACTTGTATTCACTTACTACATCTTGATCTTGATAATAAATTTGGGATGCAGCCCTCAGAATACCAATGTGATACTTTAGGGTACTTGTACATGTGACGGGGGTTTAGTCCTCAGGGTTTTATTCTTACAGTCTTTTTTTTCAGTTTTTCAGTCATGTTAGCCCTGTCACATGTAACTATGCAAACTCATCTACAACCCCCAAACTGGTGCATATGTAGGTGACACCATTAAGCCACAAAAATGACATTTTTATAATGTGTACATCATAATGACTGTCACATGTACAAGAACCCTTAGGTGCCTACTCATCATTGGGCCACCTCTATGTGACCCAGTCTTTAATAAAGTCTGACTGTTTGGAGGTTGTCTCTGCCCTCAAATAGGCTCAGCTCCTCTCCTGTGTGTCTTGCCCCTGAGCAAGCTCAGTCTTTCTCCTGGACTTTCAGCCCACTCTAGGCTCAGCCTCTGGTTCAGGTGTCTAGCCTCTGAGCAAGCTCCATTTCTCTCTGTCTAGGACCTGTCAGCCCACAAATGAACAGGTGACACACAGCGTCCTATGCCAGGTGCACACAGTGGCCTTCCTACTCCCCTACTCCACCCCATGCCTCATGGTTAAACAACAAAACCATCAATGAAGTATACTCACAACTTGACTAAAACCAATATTATCCTTCAGGGATACCTTTCTTCAGGCCTTTTCCTTTCCATTGCTGGCTAAGACCAGTCTCAGTCCCTCTCACCTTGCTTATTGTAGCATGCATCCTTCAGAGAGTTGCACTTGGTTTACCTGCCATGGCCAGGTTGACCCTTTCTGACACAGCTGGGTTAAGATCCCTCTTGAGCTCTGCTTCATCTGGTCACCCCACTCCCTTATCCCTTAATAGGACACAGGGGTTCTCCATTATGTGAGCTACAGCCTACACCTGCACTCTCCTCAGTAACAGGGGTTAGGGGTCCCTGTTACAGGTGTAATAAAATTGATAATGATCAGGCAGATACCCTGCTTCTTACACATTCCCTGAACTATCACATCTACAGCAACACTTCGATGCTAGTCTTGATTCAGGCAGTTAGACACTGGCTTATGTGCAGATATTTGGATAGCCTAGTAATATGAATGCATATGATAACTTGCAATACATATTTTCAGTTTAAAAATGATTAACTTAGAGCAGTGACACTCAACCTTCTGGCCCTTGGGGCTAGGTTGCAGAGGCAGGGTGGATCCACAGGCAAGATCCAGTGCGCAGTTGGCATGTTGGATCCAGCTGTGCACCAGAACCAACTATGCATGTCAAAGCAACCCTGTACATGCTGAACATGGCTGTGGACCCTGCACACATCAAATCTGACTCTTGCTGGAGAAATGCTGTGTACCCAAGGTCTGGCCATGTGACCAGAATGATCCCACACATACCAGATCCAACCCCAAGCACTAGAATGACTCTG